TAAGGATGGTGAAGATAGCAACCTGTAAGGTGATGCATGTTTTGCTGTATTTACATTTTATGAAAAAATGTTGCTTGGTAATTATTTGCGTGCTAAGTCTGAATCACAAATAATACTAACAGTAATTCCCTATACATGTATCTTAAAATTCATCTACATTATGTAGAGCATGGATCCTCATTTGACCAAATCCGAACATTCTTTCCAGCAGGGCCATTCCTATGAGCAGAGGGAGCACTGGTTACACAGCATTGCCCTGGTGGAATTAACACTTGTGTGTGGTAACAGTGTTTCTACCCTGTGTGTGACATTGGTGCCCACAGGTAGATCGCACATCTTAATTCCTTTCCTCATCCCCTTCCCCTCCTTCCTGCACCCACCCCTCAGTACCCTTCCTGTTTTATACTACTTGTTTGCAGAGCATTGCAGTTACTTCCTACTCATAAAAAGCCCACAGTTTTCTTAGCTCTCACCCCAGCCTACTGAAGCAGATCTTCAAGAGAAATCCCTAAGTTTAGCAAGCCCACACCAAAGCTCGCAAGCCACTGGCATGCAGACTAAGGGAAGTTGACAAGCAGAGAAGAGATTCTAGTTCCACCCAATCAGCCCAGTCACATCCAGGTGGGTCCTGGCTTTAGCCACCCTGGGTTCCCTCACTACCAGGGCTAACAGATCACCCAGGGCTGGAGGATTCTTGCTAGTGCCAAGAATCTACTTGTGTCTTCCAGAGGGTTTACAGCAATGTTGGCCTTAAGGGCTTATTTTTTTAATAAATAAACTTAGGTACATTTACGAGCTGTGTGCATGCTGGCCACGAATTTTCACATTACCTGTGAGTTCTGAACACACGTGTGTAATTCCTTGCTAGGTCAGTGTGGATGTAAGTGGAATGTACTTACTCATGATAATCCACCTCATGAATCATCAACAGTGTGTAGGAGCCCCAGTGAAGATTGTCTGCTGCGTGCATCACCTGGAACACAGCTCCAGTGAATACAAATGGTTAATGTACTTAGGGACTGCGCATGTTTAAGTCATGGTTCTCTTTTGACTAGTAGATATTTCTTGATCTGAATACTTTTCATAATAAAATCCTTAGAAAGACATTAAATCTGAGGACTATGGTTATATCATTTTTATTAAGGCAAAGTAAGAGACCCATCACCCTTCCAAGTCATAACGAATTTGCCCACTGAAATATGAAGAAAACTACAGATTCTCTTTGTAAACAGGCATCATCCATACATCGAAGAACTCTGAACCTTTGAAGGAAATAAGCATAAAAGACAAGTTGAGCCATGCGAATGTGATATTGTGATATATATGCAGGTCACCTCTGGAGTGTTCTTGTACCAAGTACATCTTGGCACTCGATTTTTCAGTGTAATATATCTGCAATTTTCTGTTATTCAGCAGCCTCCTGACATGAGCCAGAGTTATTACGCTTCTCTTCACCATTAGTTCCAGTCTTACGCAGGGAAAACCTGCGTAGGAGTTTGCAGACGCCACTGCTGGCTTCTCCTGATAAATGAAACCTACATCCAGCCTAGCTACTTCCTCTGCTTTTCACTGTGAAGGGTTTTGATTAATATGCTAAGAAGAGTCAACATTTACTGATCTGGTTAACCCTTCTCTGCACATCTTTCTCATTTTGATTTTAGTGAAGGAAGCTGTTAATAAAAAGGAATACTCAAATCATGACCTAAATTTCTTTAGTAAATCCAAGTCATTTTCCAGAGAAACACCATTTTCCTTTGTTTTCTCTCCACTGCCCTGCTCTCTGGTCTCTTCCTACTCCCTTCCTGTTGCACAAGTTCCTCTCCCATGGCATCTGCTTCTCCAGACACCCTCAGGGGCCAGGGTCTGGGAGCCTTCAGCATCCTCCCAAAGAAGCTCTGCTCTTTCTGAGAGTCCTTCCTGCTCCTGCTTCCTGCCTCTGCCCCAGACCCCAGATCATCCACTGACCTCTCTGAAGCTCTCTGACTGCGGGTCGCTGGTCTCCTGCAAAGTCTCAACAATCCCTCATCCTCAGAGATCCCTTATTCTTGTGCCTGCTGGTTTTCTCCCTCCATCGTTGGGCTCCAAGAGGTCAGACAGGATCTGTTCTCTGCTGTTCCCGGGGGTCACACCAGAACACTGAGGAGCTAACAAAGATCTGTTCTGTGACATTTTACTTCCTTTGATCCCCCCTCATCTGCTTTATTTTAAAATGTCTCAAATCATGAGATGCATTAGATGGGGGCAGGACCCAGATTACCAAGGAATAAAACCTGGCTTCAGTCTTGTATAGAAAGCAGATGAAACTATTTTGTTTTCATGTGATATAAATGTCACTGAAATATTTTTTGAGACAGCGTACATAAACATATAACAATGCGATGAAAATTACAGCCCTAATTTGCTTTTTCCCCTTGTTTGGAATTCTAGACTTTTGATTTTACTCATTTTGTGTTGGTTTCTCTCACTCTTAGTTCTTTTTCTTGTTTCATTGTACACACTTAAACTAAGAGCGGGCTACCAATACGAGATATCACTAAACGCTGTGCATTTCTGATTCTGAGTACCAACAGTAGCATCTAAGGGAAGGCGTGTTATTATCTAATAAATGTGGATAGTACTTCAATCCTTCAAAATATTTACATTAGCAAGTTTCACAAAAGATAAATATGTCAGAGGCATTCTGTCAAATGGTGTTTGCGTGTTTGGGGTGGCTCAGGAGGGTTTGGTGTTTTGGCTGCATGGCCCTGGGTGGCTGGGTTCTCCTGGGCTGGGCCCAGCCTCCTGTCGCTGGAGCAGCTGGGACTCTAGGCTCTATGCTTGATGCATGTGTGACTTTGAACACTGCTCTCTAACACTTTGTAAGTTTTCCTAAAATGTTGATGTAGTACTTGCACGACGACCAAAAACTGTGTCAGACTGGACCTAGCCTTGCAGCAGCCCTCACAGACAGTACTGCTGCGCTTAGACTATGCCTGGGCGAGATTCAGCACGCCCCTCCCCAGGCCAGGAAAAGAGCCAACTGACCGAATTCTATGTACGGTTTGCAAACTTCCTATTGAAAACCACGCACTTCTACCCCAGCCCCAACACCTGTGGCCCACAGCACTGCTCACAGAAAATGAGTCTGGATGACTCCTGGAGCAGATCTGTTTCTCCAGGTACAGGATTTACTTAGAAGGAGGCACTTGTGAAGGCCGAGCCACTGTCCTAGCAGGGCTTACTTAGGGTCTTTTGAAACTGGAAGGAGACAGACACCAGGAGTGGCTAGTACAGAGGACAGGTGGGTGCGCACGCCAGGCTGCGTCTGGCCCGCGTGGCCCTGTCTCGGGTGGGTACGAAACCAGGGGAGCCCCGGTTTTCCCAATGTAGCTGTGGCTGCCTCTCGGAACTCCGAGAACCGACGCTAAGGGGCACTAGAGCTCCGGGCTGCAGCCTGGGCGCGCAGGAGGCCCGCGGCGCTGCGGAAGTCCCCAGCGGGTAGGAGCCGCAGCCTCAGCCGCGGAGCTGCGCTGGGGACTGCGCCGGGCGGGGAGGCAGCCTGGAGGGCGCCCACCCTCTCCCCAGTCTCGCGAAGCGGACCTCACGCGTTCCCCCAGTGTAGAACAGGGAACCGCTGCGCACTGAGAGGCCACGCGCACAGCTGCAGTGTGCGCGGTGTCGCCGCCCGCGTGTCGCTCGGTGGAGAGGAGGCAGGTGCCCAGACGCGCCCAGTCCCTCTTCACAGCGCCCCCGGGACTGGGAATAACCGGACCGGACCGGGGCGCTGTTTCCGCTCTCTAGTGGGTTGGGAAACCGAGGCACAGCCAAAGCCTCCCAGCGTCATCTGCCCGTCCCCAATATAGCCAGTCCGCGCCCTAGGAGGTGAGGGTGCCCCGCCCGACCCGTGGCCTCTGCTGGGACCAGTCACCGGGGTCCAGCAGCCCGCCCTATCTCCAGGGAGTAAAGAAATAAAAAAGGGGCCACCAGGGAGAGGCAGAATCCCAGCCAGGGGTCCCGGACATCTGTGTGTATGTCTGTGCTGTTGGGGTGTCTGTCTACAGCGCATTGGGGACATGTGTGTGTCCTGAAGTGTCTCTATGTGTATTGAGGTGTCTCTGTGTGCTTTGGAGCACCTCAGTCTATGGGACACCCGTGTATGTGTTGGGGTGCTTGTATATGCCAGAGTGCCGGGTGGCTTGTGTTGGGGTGTCTGTGGTTATATATTTGAGGTTCTGTAGCTGTGTGTTGGGGGGGTCGTGGCTGTGTGTTGGAGGGTCTGTGGCTGTGTTTGAGGTTCCCTGGCTATGTGTTTGGGGGTCCCTGACCGTGTGCTGGGGGGGTTCCATGGCCGTGTAATGGGGTCCTGTGACTGTGTTGGGGTTCCCTGGCTGTGTGTATGTTGGGGGTTCCATGGCTGTGTGTTGGGGGACCCGTGACTGTGTTGGGGTTCCCTAGCTGTGTGCTAGGGGGGTCCCTGGCTGTGTGTTGGGGTGTCCCTGACTGCATATTAGGAGGTCCATGGCTGTGTGTTGGGGGTACCTTGGCTGTGTGGTTGGGGGGGTCAGTAGCTGTGTGTTGGGGGGTTTCAAGCTGTTTGTTGGGATTCTGTGACTGTGTGTTGGGGATCCCTGGCTGTTCTGGGGGGTCCCTTGGCTGTGTGTTTGGGATTGTGCTGGGGTAGTCTGTGGCTGTGTGTGTGTGGGGTCTCTGACTGTTCTGGGGGTCCGTGCTCGTGTGTTGGGGGTCAATGTGTGCTCCCCAGCCGCGCCCGTGCCCCCGGCCACTGCGCCAGGATGGAGCGAGCCTGGCGCGGGAGGAGATGACGCAAAATCCCGCGCTCCCCCCAAAAAGTGGCTGCACAGTGCGAAGATGGCGGCGGCAACTTAGCCGCGGAGGCTGCCTGTGCGCCCCGGCGGCCCGGCGCAGGCTTCGCGGGGCCCAGGTCCGGGGGCGGCGGCGGGGGGCGGCGCGCGCGGGTCCGGGCGGCGGGCGGGGACGGCCCGGCCCGCGGCGGCCCAGGCTCGGGACCGGCGCGCGCCGAGTAGGGCGGGAGGCGGAGGAGCGGAGACAGCGAGCTAGGAAGGAGGAGGAAGAGGCGAGGAGGAGGAGGCGGCGGCGGCGGCGGCGCGCAGGGAGGAGAGGAGGCGCTCCGGTCGCCGCCAGTGGGCAGCGGAGATCGCGGCGTGGCCCCGGCGGGAGACAGCGGGCTGCGCTCGGCGGGACCATGGGGACCCGCGCGCTGACGATGCCGGGGTGAGAGCGCAGCCGGCCAGCGCCTCACCGCCGTCATCCTCCTGCCTCAGCCTCGCCACCGGCCAGCACCAGCCTCCGCCTCTCTCTCTCTCTCTCTCTCTCTCTCTCTCTCTCTCTCTCTCTCTGCATTATTGTTTCCCACTCTACAGAAGATGGGGTCGGCTGGAGATTAGGTCGGCAGCAAGTCAGATTCTCCTGCAAAGCCTGGTAATATTTATGTAGGCAAAAGACAAGAGGAGAGAGAGAGAGAGAGAGAGAGAGAGAGAGAGAGAGAGAGAGAGAGAGAGAGAGAGAGAGAGAGAAGCAGACAGAGAAAGAAGAGAGAGCAGGGGAGGAGGGGAATAAGGAAATTCAGCCCTCTAAGTCAATGCATATTGTGGTGACCCGACCCAGGAGCCCTCACGGTGGAGACGGCCAGGGCTGTGCGTTCCCAAAATATGACCAGCGGTGCCTGGATGTGTCGGCAGTATGACGACGGCTTAAAAATCTGGTTGGCGGCACCCCGGGAGAACGAGAAACCGTTCATCGATTCCGAGAGGGCTCAGAAATGGCGACTGTCTCTGGCATCTCTCCTGTTTTTCACAGTCCTGCTCTCTGATCACTTGTGGTTCTGCGCCGAGGCCAAACTGACCCGCACCCGGGATAAGGAGCATCACCACCACCAGCAGCAGCGCCAGCAACAGCAGCAACAGCAGCAGCAGCAGCAGCGCCAGCAGCAGCAGCAGCAGCGCCCGCAGCAGCGCCCGCGGCAGCAGGAGCCCTCCTGGCCTGCGCTCCTGGCCGGCATGGGGGAGTCCGCGCCAGGCGCCCCGGCGCCCCGACTCCTGTCCGCCTCCGCGTCCCCAACCCTGCCCCCTTCCTCGGGCGGCGGCGGCGGCGGCAAGCGCCGAGCAGGCAGGAGCCCCCGGAGTAAGCCTCTTTTTCTAGGAAACTCTGCCAAGCCCGTGTGGCGCCTGGAGACTTGCTACCCGCAGGGCGCGTCCTCCGGCCAGTGCTTCACGGTGGACAGCGCGGACGCCGTGTGCGCCAGGAACTGGAGTCGAGGGGCGGCGGCCGGGGGGGAGGAGGAGCAGCGGCGGGCGGGGGGCCAGCGAGCGGCTCCGCTCTGGAACTTGTCGGATTTTTACCTTTCGTTTTGTAATTCCTACACACTTTGGGAGTTGTTCTCGGGGCTGTCCAGTCCCAGCACTTTGAACTGCAGTCTGGATGTGGTGCTCACGGACGGCGGGGAGACGACCACATGCAGGCAGTGCGTCGAAGCTTACCAAGACTACGACCACCACGCTCAGGAGAAGTACGAAGAGTTCGAGAGCGTGCTCCATAAGTACTTGCAGTCCAAGGAGTACTCGGTGAAGTCCTGTCCCGAAGACTGTAAGGTAGGAACCCTGGACTTCCCCCTCCCCTCCCCTCTTCTGTCCCTTTGCTGAGTTGAGGTGTCTGCCAGTGTCTCGGTTTTCTTTATGATTTTTAAATGTATTTGTTGGCTCTGGTTCGGTTCCTGGGATGGTTGCTTCTCTGGCTTACAAGAGCTTGATTTGCTGCTTGGTGAAGTATCTGGTGGGTTGCTGGGGGACACGGACGCCTTCCTCTGGGAAACCTTGGAAAATCAGGGGAGCCCATCGACTTTGGAGATAACAAAAGCAGTGCTTTCACTGTTTCTCACAGCTATAGCATTGGCTGGGACTCTGTAATACAAAGCTGATATCAAATGGAATAGCAGGCAGGCACACAGATGACCACGGGTAACCAGAAGTGTCAGAGATGGGCATGGAGGGTTTGGGGTGTCCACCTGCATGCTGAAACCTCCAGTAGTCACATCAGGAAATTGATAGACCAGAGGGGCAAGGGAAGGTGTAACTGCTTCTATAGGAAAAATGACAAATTGTCCATGTTTTTAGGGGGTTCATTCTTGCTTTATTGGGACATCTGTGGGCCTAGAGGAGGATACCGACTCTCCTTAAATTTCCCGTTTCTCTTCGACATTGGTGTAATTATTGGTTTGAGACTCAACCATAAGTGGAAACTTATAATTAGGTTCCCAGTGATAGCAAAATTAGGATATTTATTATACAAACACCTTATGTAATTTGAATATTTCAGTATGCTCTTCATAAGTACTAAATGACAAATCTTGGACGCTGTAATTAACGTTTCATAATTTATCATTTAATTCATAATTTATAATTCAGCCAAGTGGAAGCTGAGGCCTAGGGAGGTGTCGCTGTCCGCGGTGCTGAAAGGGGCCATGCCTGAGGGATGTGAGGAACCTGTAGTCATCTTTAATAGGCAATGATGACAGAATCTTGTAAGCCTCAGCGTTTCTTCCCAAGGAAAATTGCTTAAACACGGAGAAATAATACCGACTTTCAGAGTAAATAAGATACCAAACTCTCTTTTTTTTCTCTTCCCTACTTTCTCAACCTCCCACACAAACAGAACAACTGTGCCTCCACATCCTTTGGAAAGTGCAATCAAAGGTAGCATAAATCAGAAGATCAGCGATGCTTCGACAAGACAGCTTGACCGGGGGTATTTATTTTAAATGAGCACGGTTTGAGAGCCTAGTTTTACTTCAGGTTAGTCGTGCTTTTGAAAGTGAAGCTAAACTCAACCTGACCTTGCTTTATCATCGTTCTTAAACACTAGATACATACATCTTTGATAACAGTAACTGAATTTATGACACTGAAAATGCTATTTCCCTAGATAGGTGATTCTTAAGCTTTCCTATCCATTTTGTAACTGTGCCATTGAACTCATCTCTGGGAATTAAGCTCAATCTTAATGGTAGGAATTAATAATGAATGATTAGCATATTAGTACATTTACTGTATATTTACTTATTTTGTTAAGGTATGCTAAAGGCATAATATGAGGAAATGTTGCCGAGAATTCCACCACAGAGGTTGTGAAGTTATGTTTGAGTGGGGCCCTGTAATAAATTTGAACTGAACTGCTGCTCTGAAAATAAGCCCTCATAGAAATTTCTAGTAATTTCAGTTTGCACAATTTAGCATTCACAAGACAGTTCTTCTCAGTAGACTGCACCGTAATTTCAAAAAAGTATGTCAAGTTTACCTTTTTCAAATGCCCACATAAATGTATTAAAATGTTTCTTTTCCCCTTGACCTGAAATAATTCTCAAGTTGATGTTTACCTCATCACAGCTATAAAGTATGATAAAATTAGATTTCTGCTATAGACTGTTTCAGGATTACCTTTTCATGAAGTAGAAGTTAACAAAAGCATACTGTAAAAATCTTGCTGCCTTAAAATTTCTTCATACTGAAAAGTATATATGTATGTGTGTGTGTATATATATATATATATATTTTTTTTTTTGAGTTTTCTCAGAAACTCAGCATTTAATACATTGTGGTTTCTTATAGATGTTTCTTGGTGGTAGTGTTTTTATTTGTTTTGTGATTATTGTTTGACCATTTAAACATTTGCTCCATAACAGTTATTTTGAAAATCTATAATTTCAAATTTAAAGGACTGGTGTTCTTGATTTAAGATGCATAAACCAAGGCATTTATGCAGAAATATGATAGTACAAGCATGAGTTTATCAGTTTAATGTCATTTCTCTATGATTCTGCAGAATTTACAAACATATCCATGTATAAACCATAGCATTTAGACAGCTTAAAATGGTACTTGTCTTTGAAGCTTATGTTTGAGCTTCTTTATGAACACTTATTTCAGACATTATTCCAACTATGAAATAATTGTCATCAGAAATTCCGCTCAAGATGTTATAAGGATGGGAGTGTAGTTCAATGATAACACACTTGGAGGATTTGTGTGACATCTTGATTTCATCTCCAGCACCACGCACACACACACATGTACACATATGCACACAAAGAGGAACACAGGTGATTTAAATATGTCTGTCTACTGTGTAACATTTAGTAACATACATAATGCAAAATTTTCCATTTTCAAAGGCAGCTATAAAATCACAGGATGCATTAAAAGTAAACGCATTACATTTCTGTAATAACTAGTGAAAAGTCAAAGGTTAATAGTTTACTATGGTAAGTATACTTATCAAACTTACAGATAATATTCATACAATCATCTTAGTGCTACAACTTTAGTGGAATTAATATTTTAGAATAATACATTAACTTTATAAATACCATATATAATTAAGTAATTAACTGTTGTGATTTCTAACTTTTTAGTTAGAATGTATTATTATTATTATTATTATTATTATATTATTAGAATGTATTATTATTATTTATATTCTGTCACCATTAAAAATGGGCACATGTCAAATATGCATTATATGAAAATAGATCAAATTTACTTTTGACCTAAAATGGCTTTTAGATATTTTGATCATTTTTTTAAACCATAAAATAGATGTAACAGACTCATCAAGTCTTGAATTCACAGTAACAAGAGGCCAAATAAAGCTGATGCACTGTGGCCAGTCTTCACATTGCAGCCTATCATAGAAATATTCCACCCAAAATATTCTAAGAAATAATTAATTTTTAAGAATAAAGTATTTACATTTGTAGACAAGTAAATGATAAAAAACTGTTGCATATATGATGTGTTATACAACATTTAGATTGCTATATATTACACAAATTGTGTAGCAAAAATTGTGGCTGTAGTTTTTCCATATTTTGCAGTATTATTCAGCACTGTTTTTGATATGTATGCATCTGACAAATATGTCAAATCTTTAAGTTGGCAGATGATATTAAAAATCAAATATTTTAAGTCATACAGTTATGATAAATGTATATGATTTTCATGTTGAATTTTTTTCCTTAAGGATTTTCTCTTACACATACCGAACTTCTGACTAATTTTGCAAATAAAGATTGTAGCAAAGAGGTATTTAAGGAATATGACTTTTTGTGTTACAGATAAACTTTTGTAGCTCCCGATCTCTCTATTTACAGAATCTACTTTCACATCACTGGGGAGTGAACAGGACCATGGCATGGATTCTAACACGGGGCATTGCACATCTGTATTGATCTCATCTCAGCGTAAATTGTAATCTGTATGTTCCCAAAATGCATTCATTGTCATGTTTTTGTTTTCATCATCTTATATTAAAGTGAGTTGCGTACATCTATGGCTTATTCGTGCTTAGCGGACATCACCTCAAGGAGGCCCTGTGACCATCAGGCCTCTATCAGCGTCATGATATATGAGACTCATGTCTTTTTTCAGATGCTGCTCCCAATATTACTCAGTTTAAGGACACAGAATTTGGGTTACATAACGTGTGATTTGGAAAGAACCCATTTCTTAATTCTTATTGATTGTAGTATCATGGATTCATAAGGAAGTAACTTAAAAGAAAATCAAATACCTTGCAATTCTGTCCATTCAAATTTTGGACCTAAAATATTATTTTGTTCTCTGTACATGCTCTTGTATATATTATATCATTATCCATAAATGTGTAATCTATAAATAGATCTTTTTCTTATTTTGACACTTACTTATTGTCAAATTATTCTTATCGTTGAATAATTCTCTACAGAGTCAAACAGTCTCATCATAATTTTAATCACTGATAAGACTATTTATAAGGTCAAAGACCTTAGTGTAATAACTTCTATGACTCAGATTTATTTTTTTTTTATATTTTATCTCTCTATACAACTTCTGACTTATCTATGATTTATTTTTAAAGAGAAGCAGCCAAGTTTTATGTTAAAATATTAGGTATCTTGTGTCAAAACCAAAGAAAAAACATTTTTACTTTGGAATTGTAACTGGGTCGGATGAGTAGTTATATAGGGCACCACCTCACTGCTGATCTATGTTCTTTAATTACCTTTATCAAGTGAGGTGCTGTCTGCATTGGCAAGGAGCATGAGGGGGAAGAAATCTAACAGGGCTCTGCACCTCACCTACGGTAATCCACTAGGATATTTCTTGTTAGATTTAATGTGCAAGAACAAATACACATACAACTGTTTCTGGGAAAGGACCATTTTGATATGAATGATTTGACCTAAATTGCTTCCCTTTATTCTCACTTTCGGAAGATTGCTATAAACAATCCTTACCTCCTGTGCCAGTCTCTAACAACAAAGTACCAAGTATTTTATCTCAGCTTTCATCAAAACCACATCTCATCAGCATCGGTAATCACTCCTCTAGATAAAGTGGTCCTTGGGACACTGTGGAGGATCCTAGGGAGTCTTACAAACCTCAAGGCCTAGGTCACTTCAGGGCTCAGAGATCCCAATGCCTTTGGTCTGGCTTTTGTCACAGGCTGGATCTCTTCAAAACTGGCCACTGACTCCAACCTGCAGCTCCAGCTGGGAATTGGTTTCCAGCTGGTCATAATAGCCAGTGTTCAATATTGCCTTTTGCTCCACTGATGA